GCTACGCTGCTCGGTAGTCTGTAGTGACCCTGAGGTGGGCGCTCTGGGCCCATCTTCTGGGTGAGGAAACAGCCCAGAGAGGTCCAGCAACTCGCCCAAAGATACCCAGTTAGAGCTGGCAGGCAGGGTCAGGACCTGCGTCTGCCCGGGTCCCGGGCCTGTTTCTGTATCTCCTGCCCTTTCCAACTATCCCAGGGCAAGAGATTCCCCCGCCCCCACGAGCAGTCTGGGGTAACCTGGGGTAACCCTGCTTTGGTGGTGTCTAGCAATCCTGCCCAGAGCCACAGGTACCACTGTCACCTCCCACCAAGATGCTGAGCTCCAGGAGACGGGCTGAGCATCCTTGCTGAGCTCCCCCAGCATCAAGGCCTGTGCCTGGCAAACAGGCTGCTGCAGGAGGGCCTGGTGGGTGTGTGAACTAACGCGCGAAGGAGCAAAAGAAAGAACTAGCGGACAAAACAGCATCCAGGTCAGGTGGCGTCTGGCGTTTGCCCAGGTGAGGGCAGGCAGGTGGCTGGTCACCCAGCGGCTGTCGGCTCTCAGAAAGGGGGCATCCACAGATGAATGGACATGAGGCGTCTGCCAATCCTGGTCATAAATCACAGGAGAAGCCACGGGAAATGAGTGCCAGGCTTTTCTTTCTATTTAGTAATTTATCAAGGGAAGAGGCGCATTAATAAACATATTTCCCTTGAGGGGAGGGAATAACAGAGATGAATATCACTGTCAGATCTGGCCTGTTTCATCTTGTTAGGGGCGCACGAGAGGGTGGGAATCCAAATATTAGTAGCAAAATCTTTTTTTGAGTGCATTGCAAAGACGTGTGTGTATTTCTTACTTTGTATGATATTACATCTACCCCCCATCTTGTATTTTCCCATTTACCACACAGTTCATAAGTAACAGGAGTCTTTTAGAAGGTTCACTTTTATATCTCAGAGTTGCCTTTAAAGTGAGGACGAACAAGGAGTGAACCCAGTAGATAAGAATTAAGAAGCTTGGAGGACACCTGGATAGGCGGATGAGTGTTTAGGGACAGATGTCCTCCACTGTGGCTCAGTCGTCTTCTCTAGATTTGCTGTCCTTTTCTCCAGGATTAGCTCTCAGCTCACCCTGCTCACCAAAGAGTCCTCCTGGCCCCTAAGGAAGCCGTGTTCATTCACAGTTTCATTCTGGAAGATCTGCTGGGTTCGAGGCACTGTCCATGGTGCTGCCCCTGTGTACTCAGGACACACCTACCATGCTGCCCCCATTTGCAGATGGGCAAAGAGAGGCTCAGCAGGCTGAGTAATGCACCCCAGGGCAGCCAGTAAGTGTCAGGCTGTCTGTGTGCCCCCACTGGGGGGTGTGTGTGTGTGTGTGTGTCCCCGTCCTGGGCCCCTGCACCCAGGAGAGCCCTCCCCTGATAGCTACCCTCCCCACCTGAGCAGAGGCAGTGCAGCGGCGGTTCTGGTGTCCACCTGCCTGCTTTCCAATCATTCTCTACTTCCCCCGGCCGCGTGGCCTTGGCCAAGCTACTTGTCTTCTCCTTTGTAAGATGAGGCTCATAATGGTTCCTTCTTTATAAGACAGTTGTGAAGATTAAATGGCTTTATACTTGAAAATGCTTAGAACAGCCCCGAGCATCCGCAGGGCACTCAGTAAATACTGACTTTGGGTGGCTGAGCGTCCACTGCCCCTTGACACACCACGCCTCTGCCCCACGCCCGGCTTTTGGCATCTCCGGTTGGACTCACCACCGAGCCAGCCGGATCCCAGTGCTGGGATATAACGGTGAGCAGGGTGACCGAGTCCCTAGTTCACAGAGGCGGGAGAAACAGAAGCAACCAGACATACACAAGCAGGTATGAACTCCCCTGAGCCGCACCTATCCACAGAGAGGGGACCGTGGTGCCCTGAGAGTGTCCCGGGGGACCTGCCCAACTCCAGGATGTTAGCGATGGTTTCCTGGGGAAAGTGGTGACCCTGCTGAGCGCAGAGCACTGCAGACAGAAGAAGCAGTATGTGCAAAGGCCCTGTGCAGGAGGCTGGAGAGGGAGTCAGGGGCACCCACGGAGCCACCGGGTAAGCCACACTGAGGACTTGTGCCTTTTTCCTAATAGCAGTGGGAGCTCTGGAAAGGTTTGGGGTGGGCAAATGCAAAGACATGATCTGATTTGGCCGCAGTGAGGAATGTGTATCAGACAGCAGTTAACTAAGGGCCCCGGGATGCCCCAAGCAAGTGGGGGGCTGGGCTGGTGGAAGTGGGAGATGCAACTGTGAAGGAGGTGGGGGGGGTGTCAGGCCAACTCCCGGGTCCCCCGCTCTGCTGCTCTATGGGTGGCGGGCGCCCGCCGAGCCCAGCCCTACAGGAGGTAGGGCTGGGCTGAACTGTGGTTGCCTTTCAGACGCAGGAGGCCAGGTGGGCAGCTGGCTGTCAGGAAGTTCACTATCAGAGCCGCTAAAGTGAGGGTTTAAAAGCTGTTTGTGCTGAGAGCGTCTTCCTGGCCCTGCCTCTCCCCACCTCTCTGAAGGTACACTCAGGACAGAGAAAAACCACACAGCAGGGCTTCTTTGGACCTTGGTTCAAATCCTGCCCTTGAGCAAGTCGCTAACGTCCCCAAGCCTCGTTTTCTTATCTGCACAGCTGGGTTTGCATTTCGGGGGGCAGTGATGGCCGTTCATTGCAACAGTGGGTCTGAATGTCACTAAGGGGTGGCTGTCGCTGGGTTATTCTGTGCACCAGAATTCAGAAGCAGGGACTTATCCAAACACCACACCAAAGGGACACACGCCGTCTCTAGTTGCTCATGGGCCAGGGCACATCTCTGTGGTCCGGGATGCTTGTTCAGAAGGGTGGTCGTGTCTGCAGCACAGCCCAAGCGCTGGCTGGGGAGGGGCTGCTCCGACGGACCCTGTGAGGCAGAATGAGGTTGTGCGACATTGTGTCCCTAGGCGTGTGGGCTGGGGTCCTTCCCACCGCAAGACAAAGGTGGTGACACGGCCTGAGTGTGTCACCTGCTGGCCTGGGTGCCAGCCATGCTCCCAGGCCCCTCTGCGGGGCAGAATGAGCTGGTGTTCACCGAATGGGAGCACCTTCCGTGAACCCACCGTAGCTCTGCTTGCTAAAAGATCTGTAAGCCCCAGGCCTCAGAGCCCAACAGAATCAACGGCAGGCCAAAAACAAAGATGTTCAAGGAAAAGAATACCCTGAGTAACTCAACTTTTTCTCCCAGCTGGGAGCTTTCCTACAAGCGCTTCATCCTTTCCGGTTGAAAACAAAGTCTATGATTACACGCGTGCACTTGTACAGACATACGTACAGGGTACCCACCCGGGGCAGCTGGTCTTGGACCCAGCATCCTTCGTCCACAAAGGAGATGGTTAGGAAAGAAGACCCCAGAATCCCCTTCCAGCCGGAGGATTCTGGTGGCCCGGTCTTAAAGGGGCTTCCCAGATTTTCCAGCCAAGGATGGGGTCGGGGGAGGGCTGGGCGTGGTTGACCCCCAGGGCAGGGGGCAGTGGGCAGGGGCTCGACCGAGGCTGCTTCTGGTGGTGGTAGTGGGCTTTCTAGGGGGTCGGTTGGTCCTGGGAATGCGGGCCCAGAGAGTCACAGGGTATCACTCCTGCCCTCAGTTCTCCTGCAGTGGTGGAGACAGCACACTGACTCACAACCCCGCAGCCAGGACATCCTGGGTCTCCCTGGAGGAGGGGACCTATGGGGTCTGGGCAGGGCTGAGCAGGCAGGAGGGAGAAAGGTGGGCATCACGAGCCCGGGAACCGCTGAGTGCAGGTGTGGGTGCCGAGGCGCTCTTCAGCACAGCCCTGCAGGTCGGCACTTGGGGACCCTTTACAAAGAGGAAACGAGCCCAAGGAGGGTCTGGACAGGGTGGGAACCTTGGCATGTGGATTCCTGTCCAGCGATGTGGTCACACCATTTCTCGGCTGCTGTGTGCCCAGAGGGGAGACCAGAACCCTGGTTGGGAGAGGAGGGGCTGTCGGGAGGAGCGGTCTGGGGCCCCTGGTCCTGAGGAGCGGGGAGCCCGGTCTGGGGGCAGGCCCTCCTCCCTCCCTGCAGCTCCGTGTGTATGTATGGGGAGGGGGAGAGCGCACCCACAGGCAGTTGGGTAGGGCACCAGGCGTGTGCGTGCGTGCATGCATGTTTAAGGCAACAGGTCCCCGAGGCCCAGGCGACTCCAGAAGGGAAGGACCTCGGTGTTGGAGAGCCGTCTGCGTGCTGCCAGGCTGCCTTTTGCCATGGCATCCTCTGTCCTCCCCACCCCAGACCAGCCAGGAGTCTAGGGCCTCTGCTTGGCGAACGTCCATTCAGGGCATTTTGGGGCGATCCTGGTCGCAACGTGATCCGCGACCCTGGAGCACGTGGCTCCTTTCCCTCTCCTTCCTGTGGAAAAGTCACCCGCTGGGATGCTCTACAGCAATAAAAAAGGCGCTGGTTCCTGCCACACACAGCTGCGTGGAGAAACCTCACCGATGATGTTGGACCAAAGAAGCTGTTTGAGAAAAAGCATTGATAATTCCATTTATGTAATAGGCAAACGCGCAAAACAGGCAACACTAAGCTGAGGATGAGAGACCAGTCTGGTGGCTGCCCCTGGGAGGGTCCGGAAGGGGCAGAGGGGCTGCTGGGCGCTGGCCGGGCCGTGCTTCTTGGCCCGCTGCTGGCTTCACTGGTGGGTTCCCTATGTGAGAGGCCACCAAGCAGGTCACCTACGGTTTGTGACTTGGCTGTTGTGCCTCAGGCGTTGCTGGACCCGGTCTCGGCCTCTGTGTGCCTAGCAGGACAGGCACTAACACAGATCCTCAGCACACCAGGTGTGGACCAGGCCCATCATACAGATGAGCAAACTGAGGCCGAGAGAGGCCTGTGCCCCAGAGCCGCCAGCTGGACAGGGGCAGATCCGCAGTGCCCATCAGACTGTCCCCCCCCAGTCCCCTTCCCCCGTCACATCACCCCCACAAGTGCGGTCCTGCTGACGCGCCTTGGCTTGGCTGTCCTGCAGTGTCGCGTTTCTCCAGCCCCCGGGTGACGCCCCGCCTGAGCCGCAAGCGGGCGCTGTCCATCTCCCCGCTCTCGGATGCCAGCCTTGACCTGCAGCGCATGATCCGGACCTCGCCCAACTCGCTGGTGGCCTACATCAACAACTCGAGAAGCAGCTCGGCTGCCAGCGGCTCCTACGGGCACCTGTCGGCCGGCACTCTCAGGTGAGCCTAGCCCGCGAGCCGGGGCCAGGCTGGGGCCCAGTGGAGAGGGTCCACACTGGCATCCCGGGAGAAACACAGGACTTGTTTTTGGTGTTTTTTTTAATTGAAATATAGTTGATCTACAGTGTCGTGTTAGTTTCTGCTGTACAGCAAAGGGACTCAGTTATACACGTATATACATTCTTTTTCATATTCTTTTCCACATGGTTTATCACAGGATATGGAATCGAGCTCCCTGTGCTCTACAGTAGGACCTTGTTGTTTATAGGACTTGTAAGTCAGTCTACTTGCGAATATTCTAGGAATTCAAAACCAGTAGTGATGACATTGAAACATGCCAACATTTGGGTGCATCTTCATGGGCCTCTTTTTCACCCACCAAATGATTTTTTAGTAACCCTTATCGGGCCTGTCGTGAAAAATTCCATTATGAAGTCAAAGGGGACTTTCCTAGTGTTTCAGCAGTGTCACTGACCAGCACTGGACTGCTGCAGCTCTGACACTGGCTTGGCCTGCACGTCTCTGGGCCGGCAGACGTCTCGCTCTGTGGTCACAGCACACGCAGACCTCACCATCACCTCCCGCCCCGTCCCCTCTGTGCAGCCCTTGACTGTTCAGAGGACTCAGACCCCAGCCAGCTTGGCTGAAACCCATGTCCTTACACTGGCCCTCCTGAAAGAGGCCAGGGTTAGAGGAGCTTAGGAATGCCAAGAGAGCTCAGCCCAAGGACCCGGAGATAAGGGATGATAACAATTATATCAGTTATCTTTTGCTATGTGACAAAAAAACAAAAACAATAAAAAACCCCGCAGTATCAAACAGTAAGCAGTTAGCCTCTCGCAGCATTTCCAAGGGTCAGGAGCATGAGACTGGCGTAGCTTCAGGTCTCTCACGAGGCTGCAGTCCAGATGTCGGCCAGGGCCGTGGTCACCTGGAGACTTGACTGGGCCTGGATGTCTGTTTTCAGGATGGCTGGCCCTTGGGCCTGTTGGCACAAGCTCTAGTTGCTCTTCACGGGAGCCCCTCCACATGCTGCTTGAGCGTCCTCACAACATGGTGGCTGGCTCCCCCTCCCCCACCCCCAGAGGGAGTGACCCCAGAGAGCAAGGAGGAAGCCCCGGCATCTTCTGTGGCTTAGCCTCGGAGGGCACCATTTCTCCCTCAGTGTCCTGTTCTGGAAAGAGTGGCCCGTATGCAGGTGGCGTGGTAGAGCTCAGAAGACAGAGGACCGTGGGAACCGGAGGGCTCGGGACACACTTCCTGGACGAGGGGGCATTAGAACGGGGTTCAAATAGTCAGGGAGCATCAGCGATGCAGGGGCGCATCTCAGGCGACAGAGCAGTGAAGGGCCAGGGACAAAGGCTGCGTCCTGGGGCAGGGCCTGGGGGCTACGCACAGAAGTGGAGGCCTGAGACAGCCGGCAGTGGGGAGCCACGGGTGCTTGAGTGGGAAAAGCCACGGTGACGGGGCAGTCAGCAGCGTGCCCATCCAGATCTCCGGGCAGTGTCCTGTCTGTCCAGGAAGCGTGAGCCTCACAGAGTCCTGCCCCCACCTCACCCCACCCCTCTCCATCACCTTGTCTGCCCTTCTCTGCAGCCCGGCCTTCACCTTCCCCCACCCCATCAACCCCGTGGCCTACCAGCAGATCCTGAGCCAGCAGCGGGGCCTGGGCTCGGCCTTCGGACACACGCCACCCCTGATCCAGCCCTCGCCCACCTTCCTGGCCCAGCAGCCCATGGCCTTCACCTCCATCAATGCCACGTCCACGCAGCTCAGTAGCAGCAGCAACTGTCTGAGTGATGCCAACCAGGTAGGTGGGGGTGGGGGGCGGGGGGCCACCAGGCACTCATCTGCACCAAGCAAAGGCCAATCATGGCCATCTCATGCCAGGAACATGTGGAAGGACTCTGGGCACGGGTCTGGCTGGCACCATACCTCTGGGCAGAGGCCACGTGATCAAACGGGCCTCAGGCTGGATCCCCAGTCAGGAGGCCAGGGCTGGGTCCTCACACTGCCCTCGCTCACCATGGGCCAGCACCCAGCCTCAGTTCTTTGGCTGACTGTCCAATAAGCATAACGACTAAATGGAGAAACCCTAGTATTCAGTCAGGCATCATACAGGGACCTCATACACAGCATGTAACATGGATGGCTGAAACAGGTAATTAATATTGTACGGCTTAGTTTGAGAGCATGAGTTTACCCAAGGCCATCTTATTCGACCTTCCCAACGGGCTTTTGAAATGCCCGGGCCGGCTCACAAGCGCTGGGCATGCTCGGTGCCATGAGCATTTGATGAATGAACAAAGTCCTGTTTTGCAGATGAGAAAATGCAGTTGGAGTCCTAGAGACAGTATCAGATAGTAGGAAGGGCGCAGGCCTCAGAATCAGATCGTGTTTTGAACCCTGACTTACCTGAAAGCTCTTTCAGCCTGAGCTCACACCCCTGCAGAGTGGGGCTGCCACCGGTATTGGGTCACTGAGCCTGGGTCCACCTGGATCCTGGTTAGCGCTCACGATGACCATCCTTGAGGTGAAGCAGCTGCCCAGGCCACCCAGCTGGCAGGGCAGAGGTGACCACGTGCTGGGGAGGAAAGACCAGAGGCCGTGCGGTCTAGGAGTGGCCCTCTTCTAGAAAGTTCTCCCCAGGGCTCCAGGCGGCCACCTAGCACCTCCCCCAGACGGTGGCTGTCGGCTTTTGTCACATCCCCTGACACCGCAACTCTAACCCGCTTGTCCTGAGGAACCAAGCTCTTCTGTCCCGCTCCCTGGACTGGCCGGCCCTGTTGTCCTCAGACCCAGAGCCGCCCCTGCCTGGGAGGGCTGAGAAGTTGAGGCCGCTGAGTCGGGCGCGGGGTCCCCAGCATTTCTCAAAGAGAGGGTCTCTGCTCCATCTCCATTGTGGGGGGGGGGCTGCGTGGTAGGGAGGAGGGTGCTGGTGGGCCCGGCCCTGGGCTCCCCGGGCTGTGCCCCAGGCCAGAGGACCAAGCTGTGCAGTGACTCAGTTTCTGAAACTGCAAACACAAGTTTTGGCCTAGACGGCCTAGTGCGGAGGGTCCAGGGTAAAGCCCAAGCAGAACTTTGGGGTGCCCCCCTGTGTTCCCCTCTCCCAGAGCAAGCAGAGCAGCGAGTCAGCCGTCAGCAGCAGCGTCAACCCCCTCGTCATTCACAAGCGCAGCAAGGTCAAGACCGAGGCCGAGGGCCTGCGACCAGCCTCGCCTCTGACCCTGACGCAGGTAACCTGCTGGCCGTCCTGGCCGGGCTCGAACTGGGGCCGGACCTCATCTCCTGGGGCAGCTGCCTTGGGGCCGTGACCCTGTTGAGAGTGGGTAATGGACGGCAGCCTGCATGAATGAATGAATGAGTGGACCAGAGAGGGCAGGGCAGGCACGCCAGGAAGCTCAGGGAGGACCAGAACTGTGTCCCCAGCTCCCCGCACACACCTCACATGTGCTCATCAAATGCCTACCTGAGGGGGAGGGGGGAGGGAGGGAGGGCTGCAGCTGTCTGTCCCTGCAGCACAAGCCCCAGGCCAACTGAGTTGCTCACGGCCCCTGAATGGCTCAGGCCCCCTGCGTCTGCGCCCTCTCCCTGGAAATCTGAACCCCACCCTATTCCCTGAATAGTAGGACTCACATGTGCCCAGACACCACCACCACCACCACCACCCAGCTTCTAGGTCACTACTGTGCACTGCACAGTAAGCTTTGGAGAGGTGGCACTTTGGGCACAGTGCCTGTTTTGGCTCTGCATCACCGGGTTTGCCTAGGGTCTGGTGCGCAGTGGCTGAGAGATAATATTTTCTAAGGACTCAACGCACATTTGAGGCGGTGAGTGTTACAGTGCCTGGGAGGGGAGGGGGGACAGTTGCTGGCGAGAAGGCAAGGAACAGAGCATCCCGCAGCCCAGAATGAGCCTGTTGTGGAGCTGAGACCCTAGTGCATGTGTCTTTCTTTGGAGATCCTGCCACTTATTCCAACACCAAGCCAACAGGCACACAGCCCCAGCTCCAGGGGAGGGGACGGCATGCATGCTGACCTCTGGGGCAGGCCTCTCGTGGCAGCCTGGTCTCCACCCATTACTACGGAATCCACAGCTATGACACCACAGGTCCTCGGGGCCTCTGGTCCCCGTCTCCCCTACATCTGCCGGACCATCCTTTATCAAACCTGTAAACCATAGGGCGTGCTCCAGGCACTTAAGTTTTATGAAGTATTGGGTTCTGTTATTGTCAGGCAAACAGAGAGGTTGGTGACAAATTCTTCTCCCCTCACTGACACCAGAGCATCTCTGCGTGATGCATGGTTTCCACGTGGCTGGCCATCATCAGGGGCTGTTGAAATTGATGAGGACGGTGAGTGTCCACGGGAGATAAACTCACTGGAGCCGTGGGGCCAGGGCTGCGGGGAGGCGCCCAGTGCCAGGGAGTCCCCCGCCCAGCCCCCTCAACCCGGGGGGCTGCACAGAGCCCACCCTCCTGCCCAGCTCCGCTCCTACCTCGTGTCATGGAAGGACAGACGTTTATCATGCGGAGGTTGTCACCGTGTCACTTAGTGTCCTGACTCTGACCTGACTCCTTGGCTCCCTGACTCATTTGCAAGGTGGACGGGCTTGCTTTCTCTTGGCAGCAAATGCAACAGAACGGATCCCTTCTCAGCTTCCGCCCTCAGGTTCCTGGGCTGGGGTGCTGCTTGGCTGGAGGCCCAGGCCCACCCCCTGCCCCTGCACTCTCCTCGGATCACGTCCATGTGGCATCTTCTTCCTGTCTTCTCTGAAATAAGCAGGGCAGGCAGCTTGAGGAGTAATACGTCTATTTCCAGTTTTTCTGCAAGTGCAGAGGCATTAGGAGGCCCCAGCCCTCCCAGGGCTAGACGGCTAGAGATGCGGGAAAGAGGCATTCCTGCCCCTCCTTTTAATGTGGACCCAGTACTGCCCGGGGACTTACTGGACAACACATCATTTTCCTTTTCCAGAACACGTGCATTAATTGTAAGGTGCTCTGGGAGACGACACTCAGAACCCACCCCCTGGAGAGCCCTCTGCAGCCCCAGTGGAAAGCCAGTCTGGGGTGCAAGTCTGCACCGGCCACGGGGGGTGGGTCACGAGGCCAGTTTCTGCTCCGAGAAATGGACTCAACTTCAGGAGGGAGGCTGAGATGGAGGCTGCAGCCTCCGCTTCATTGAGCCCCTGTAGCCTTTGGGAACTGCGGTGCCTGTCTCTGGGGAGAGGGTGTCTGTCTCCCCTTAGCCTGAGCTATAAATGCTTTCCCCAGAGGCTCTTCTGAAAGACAGACATTCCTGCCATTTTACAAATAGTTTAGAAGTAAAGCAGGTCCCCCTAACGTCTGCCCCTTTGCCTGGCTTTGCTCTGAGCCCGACCCACAGGCTAGGGGATACTGGGGAGGCCTCAGCCTGCTCTGGAGGGCCTCGCCGGGCCTTCTTCCCAGCCTGGCCATCTATGCCTCTCCCCATGTCCCCGCTCCTGATACCACTCAGCCTGTCCTGTGTGCCCGGCTTGGAAGCTGCCCCCGGCCAGCTCTGTTGGCATCAGCTGGGATGGGGGGCCTTGTGGGGTTGACCCTCAGTCTGTTGCTGGTTCGGGAAGAAAAGCCTTTGTCCTCTTTGAAAGGAATTTCGGGTGCCTGTGATCAATGGAAGGCCCATCTCAGGGGCCTTTCCTTTACCTTGAAACGGGCATACATGGGCCCCATCGTGGCTGGGAGACATGAGCCCAGATGTGGGCGGCCACAAACTCACTGTGTCGTGGAGGGAGCCGGTCAGCATCTGCTGGAACGTCAGGGTGCCCAGCTGTCATACCAGAATACAAACACCCGCATTTTAGGGCTGTCACAGGGAAGCCCGATGCTGGGAAAGTATGTGAGTGCCATGTGTGCCCTTGGGAGGAGGGGACAGTAGAGGGTGAGGCCAGGCCAATGCGTGTGGAGTTTCCTCTTGCCTCCAGACAGGAGCTGACCCCGCACACACTCTAAATACAAATGCCCGCCGCCCCCCTGAGCCTGTGGGGCCTGCCCCAGCTCTCCCCAGGGAAACCCCACCAGATAAGCAAAAGTCACTGCCCTCCTGTCTCCTGTTCTCCTTGCCATGGCCGTTGACCCAGGACTGATGGGACTCCGAGTTGAGGGCCAGCCAGCATGTGTGCATGCTTGTGTGTTCATGCGTGTGATGTGCATGTGAGCACGGGCGTGGCCCCGCCTAGACCAGCCCACGGGTCCTCAGCACAGCCTTCACGGGGCTGATAGTGACCTTTCCTTGGGGCCAGGTGGCTGAATGTGGCTCACGTGTGTGTGCTCTGCACCCCCCCCCCGCCCCCCCACCCCAGGAGCAGCTGGCTGACCTCAAGGAGGACCTGGACCGGGATGACTGTAAACAAGAAGCTGAGGTGGTCATCTACGAGACCAGCTGCCGCTGGGAGGGCTGCACCAAGGAGTACGACACCCAGGAGCAGCTGGTGCATGTAAGCCCCCGAGCGGCCCAGCCCAGGCCCCGACTAGAGAGAAGGGGCCCCGGAGATGCCTGGGCCACCTCCTGCGCGGGTGGAAGGCGTGATTACTTACGGAGGCCGTGCTTGTTTCTAAAAGGGGACTTATAAATACGTATGTAGTACAAGAGATTAACAAAAATAATGGAAAATTAGAAGGAAAGAAACAATAAAATGAAGCCCAAAGTAAAGGTAGTATTAAAAACCAAGTGCTCAGGGCTTCCCTGGTGGTGCAGTGGTTGAGAGTCCGCCTGCCAACGCAGGGGACGCAGGTTCGTGCCCCGGTCTGGGAGGATCCCACATGCCGTGGAGCGGCTGGGCCCGTGAGCCATGGCCACTGAGCCTGTGCGTCCGGAGCCTATGCTCCGCAATGGGAGAGGCCACAGCAGTGAGAGGCCTGCATACTGCAAAAAAAAAAAAAAAAAAAAAAACCAAGTGCTCTGAGCTTGGTCTTCTTTTATTTTTATTTTTTTCTGGAGCTTCCTGGCAGCCAATGCAAAGAAGGAAATAAGATTAGGTAAGCCAGCCAGCATCCACAAGATAACAACAAACCTGACCCTGAAACCTGAAAGAAGTTTCTCCCATGGAGGGAGGAGTTGGTCATTTCCTCTTGGAGACCATGCACAGATACCCAGTGTACGTGGGTGCAGCTGGGTGTTTATACCCATACAGGGAGGGGACTGCTGTATGATGCCTGGGTACTGACGGATCAGGAGATCAGAGAAGGCCGTGGGAGCTGGGTGTGCCCTTCAGGGTCTGCCTGTAAACTTTCTACAACAGCAGCCACTGTGGGCTCACTCATGCAGTGCAAACAGCAGGAACAGGAGCTCAAGGTAGGAGGTGCCTGGCTTCCAACCTGGCTCCACCACAGCTAGCCAAGTGGTTCTGAACAAGTGACTGAACCTCTGTGAGCCTCGGGTTTTTTCTCCTGTAAATAGAGGTGAAGCCCACTCTACAGAGGGGTGAAGGTTGACCATGATACCAGCATAAGCACTTAGCAGAGAGCAACCCTCCATACACGGGCATTCCCTCCCGGCTTCACCTCCCTGTTCCCCAGGCCGGCCCCGAGTGGTTCCCTCTTCTCCGTCCAGAAAAGAACTTAAAGTCAAGAATAAACCTCCCCCAACCCCAACACACACTCCTTGGTGAGTGAGTGTCTATAAAGATGAATCTACACCAAGCTGGAAGCTCAAATGCTGGGTAGATCCCCACTCGGCAACTCTCTTACATTGTAACCAATTTAATTGTAAAACTGAGTTAGCTACCTGACATTTTTTTAATATTTCAAAAATTATGTAAGTATTATATAAACATGTTCTCTTTATAATCAAATTGAGCACTATGGAAGTATATAAAATGTAGAGTAAAAATCCCTCTACCCTCTCCTTTCTCACCACCAAAGACAAGCATTGTCCAGAGTTGAGCGTGAATCCTCCAGATGGCTTCTGTTCACACGCGCACGCGCACACACACACACACACACACTGGTCACACCCAGGAGCCATCCCACAAGAGCCACGTCCTCCCTAGCTCTGTGAAATCAACATTTAAGACACCACCCACTCCCCCTGCTTCCTTTTCTTGTGGGCTTGCTCTCAAAGACTGTAGGTTTCTTTGGTGTTGAGGTTTTTCTCCCCCAATTTTCACCCAGGGGACTGGAATTTCTCAGCAAACCCATTGCTGCTGACGTCAAGCCTGTAAAGCATGGTTTTATCTCATCGTCCTGGGACTCAAACATAATTTTTCAACCAAGTGCTCTGAGCTAGAGTTCACATACATATCTTTTTTTTTTTGGAGCTTCCTGGCCGCCAATGCAAAGAGGGAAATAAGATTAGTTCAGCCAGCCAGCGCCTGCAAGATATTAACACCTCTTTGGGTTAAACAAGTCTTGAGGTGGAGTAGGGGCCACTGGAGCTGTGAGCTTTGGGACAAATCAGATAGATGAAAGGGGGATAAAAGAAGATCTGGAGCCGGAGGGGTTACAGGCAGAGAGGTGGAGGGGAGGATGTAAAAGATGCCCAGGAAGGAGTGGTCAGCCCTAAAGAGTGGGGAGGGGATTCCTCAAGTAAAGGCAGGGGCTCCAGACGTGGGAAGAAGGGCTCCAGCTGCAGGCTCCTGCCTGGGTCCTGGGGCTGTGGGTGACTGTCTGCACCTGGCCCTGAAAGGAGCAGGTTCCTGTGTTGGGGTGTGGGGAGCAGGCTGGTCTGCTCAGCTCCGTCTCTCTCTCTGCTCCCTGGGAAGATGGATGGCCTGGGCACGCATGCGAACTGGAGCCCCTAGTCAATTATTAACAATTTGTTGCTAAGCAAACCAATAAGAAAAAAATGAAAGGTATTGTCAGGAAGCATTTTTATCATTTGAAAGGCTTTCAAAATGGAAAGTGAGGCTAATATAGTAAGATTTCCCTGGAAGTTCAAAGCGCCATAGATTTTGCTTGCTCTGATGTCGGCATTTGGATGCATGATGGTCCAGCCTGTCACCCAGGGCGCGAGGGCCCAGCGGTTTTCTGTCCTGCGGGGAGAAGATGCTGCTGGACCCCAGATGCTCAGCTCCGGCACAGCCTTGTAGGTTGCAAAGGTCTACAGAAGCGCCGTGCAATAGAAAGACACCACCAGCCCCAGTGCCAGCCCCACAGGTAGTCTTACATTAGCTAGGGGCACGTTTAAGCAGAGTGAAAGGAAACAGGTAAAATTAATTGGATTCATGTATCAATATTTTGTTTAACCCAAAATACCTAATATTATCCTTTCTGCATGCAGTCAATATATCACAAAATTATTGAGATATTTTACATCCTTTTTTCATTCTCAGTCTTTGAAACAGGTGTGTGGTTTATACTTACAGCCCATCCTGGTCGGGAGCAACCACCTTTCAGGGGTGCAACAGCCACAAGCGGAGAATGGCCACCAAATGGGACAGTGTGGGTCCAGATATGGTGGCAGAGATGCCACCATTCCCACTCCCCAGTTAAACAGACAACCTGAAAGATTAAGGACATAAAGGTCCTGAGGCCCCACCCACGTATCAACACATCCCAAAGCTCAGAAGTAGTAAGAGCCCTGCTCCAGTGAGGACTGCAGCCTTCAGTTAAATCATGAAAGCAAGTAACAAAACCAAATGTCCTACTCAGGGCGGCTTGCTTTGCTACCTGTGACAGAAAACCTCCGTGGCCTGTTGCTGCCCATCACAGGGAGCAACTGCCCCCGGGGGGCGCACAGGTGATGGGCCCAGGGCAGAGGCCAGAAGGTGTGGGTGCAGGGGCTGAGAGAAAGAGAAAAATTCTCCCCATGCTCCTGACCCAGGGCAGTGCTGGCTGGGGTGGGTCTGAGGCCCACTCGTCCAGGGAAGGCTTTCTGGCCATGCACTTCCCAGCTGCGCCCGGGATGCCCCCCCGCTCCGAGCACCGAGGGCCCCCACCACCACTGCAGGATCAGCTGGATGTCTTGGGCTGTCCCACCTTGCCTTCCTGGGCCGTTTTGTCCCCCGGGCAGCATCACACACTGCCCAGGGCACACGGTCAGGGTCAGACTCTAGCTCCCTCCTGGGCAGGCTACTTTCACAACCTGGGCTTTTGTGAAAAGGGGACAAAGCTGTCATCTCATGGGTCACTGTCAAAAAGAGAGACGAGGATGCATTTATGTTTCTGTTACGATAAGAATGTTAGGGACCTCCCTGGCGGTCCGGTGGTTAGGGCTCGGTGCTCTCACTGCCGGGGCCAGGCTTCAACCCCTGGTCGGGGAGCTAAGATCCCACAAGCCTCGTGGCCTAAAAGAGAAACAAAAATATTATTTAAAAATTTCTGGAGCCATAGGGACAAGCTTGGGAGAGGCTGCTCGTGCCCCCACTGTGTGCATGTCTGCCCCACCGCAGCTAATGAGTGCCTACTGTTTGCAGCCTGGAAGTATCATCATAACCATCAGTTCTCCATAGACCAGAGCCTAGAGCCCAGACTGGTGTCTTTGACCATCATGGAGGGTCACTTTGATGACTAATTGGAAGATGCAGCCCAGATAACTCACGAGGAGGCGTGGCCGGCACCTGGATGCTGGCCCATGCGGCGGCTGGTCTGCATAGACCAGGTGGGGTCTGGAGGGGTGGGTGGACGGGCTCACCCTTCCCTGTGGGCTTCTTCCCGGCAGCACATCAACAACGAGCACATCCACGGGGAGAAGAAGGAGTTCGTGTGTCGCTGGCAGGCCTGCACGCGGGAGCAGAAGCCCTTCAAGGCGCAGTACATGCTGGTGGTGCACATGCGCAGACACACGGGCGAGAAGCCCCACAAGTGCACGGTGAGTGGCCGCGGGCCGGCCCATCGGCCAGCTGATGGGGCTGGTGTGGGCAAACCTGGTGAACAGCGTTGGGACAGGCCTTGCCAACAGGGTGTCCTGTCTGCCCCCGCCCAGTCTTGGGTCCTGGGGGCCCTTCTGTCTGTCTGCTGCCCCAGATCTTCGCTTACTCTCCCTGTGGGGCAGTGTGTGCATCTCGGTACCTGCGGGGGGTGGGGGGCATGCTGGTGTCTCTGTGGTTGTGTCTGTGTTACTAGGAGCCCCACGGCGCAGCTGTGCCCTCACCCGACTGGGTGACCCTGGGCAGGGGGCCAGCTTGGTGGCTCGCTGCAACCTGTCCTCTGCACAGAAAAGAGTTTCACTGGAGAGTCACAGATTGAGCGATGACGGGTTAAAAGTCACTTTGGTTGAGTTTTTTTTTAAAGTGGGAACGCAGTGATAAGACCTTTTAGACAGTCTCCCTTATGGAGTCAACAGGATTTGTGACGCTATTGGGTTGGCCAAAAAGTTCGGGGGAAACCCGAACGAACTTTCTGGCCAGCCCAATATTTGGTGAGACCTTTATTTTAATTTAATTTTATTTATTTTTGTATACAGCAGGTTCCTATTAGTTATCCATTTTATATATATTAGTGTATACATGTCAATCCCAATCTCCCAGTTCATCACAGCACCACCCCTCCCCCGCCACTTTCCCCCCTTGGTATCCATACGTTTGTTGTCTACATTTGTGTCTCTATTTCTGCGCTGCAAACCGGTTCGTCTGTGCCATTTCTCTAGGTTCCACATATATGCGTTGATATAGGTGAGACCCTTTTTTAACACACAGGAATTGCTCCCTCTTTCAAAGAGCGGTGGCCCTGTGATGCACTCCTGTGGCTGTGACAGAGGCCTCTGGGAACTGCTCTTTATGAATTACCGTATTTCATAGATTCTGAGACACACACTTCATTCTCATTTTAATGACTCTGAAATCAGTCTGTCTTAAAATTGGTGGTGTCCAGGATTCAATGAAATACACTACCTTTGTTGGCAAGGTTTTGGGTTTTTTTAATTGAGATAGAATTCACATACCATAAAGTTCACCCTTTTAAAAAAATGTACAATTCAGTGATTTTGAGCGAATTCACAAACTTGTGCAGCCTTCACCGCTAGCTACTTTCAGGACATTTTCAACACCTCCCCAAAAGAAACCCCATACCCACCAGCAATCACCCCCGTGCCCCCCTCCCCTGCATCCCCTGACCACCACTAATTTGCTTTCTGTCTCTATCAACATGCTTCTTCTGGGCAGTTCATAAAAATGGAATCATACAATGTGTAGCCTCTGTGTCTTCTCCTTCACTTAGCATGTTTTCAGGGCTCCTCCGTGTAGTATCATGTATGAGTATTTCATTTCTTTTTGTGGCTAAATAATACTCCACTGTGGACAGATCACAGTTTTTTATGCATTAATCAGTTGGTGGCTATTTGCATTGTTTTCACTTTTTGGCTATTAACACTGCTATGAACATTCACGTTCAAGTTTTTGTGTGGTTATGTTTTCAGTTTCTTACATATATACCTAAGAGTGGGTCATAGAGTCATAGAGTGGGTCATTGCTGGGTCATAGAGTCACTCTATGTTGAACTTTCTGAGGACCTGCCAGACTCTTTTCCAAACAGGTGACAGTATTTTACATTCCCACCAGCCATGGGTGAGGGTTCTGATTTCTCCACATCCACACCAAAACTTGTAGTTACCTGCCTTTCAGTTACCTAGTCATCCTAGTGTGTGTGAAGTTGCATCTCATTGTGGTTTTGATTCGCATTTCCCTAATGACAGATGATTTTGAGCATCTTTTCGTGTGCTTATTGGCCATTTGTATATCTTCTTTGGAGAAATGTCTACTCCAATATTTTGCCCACTTTTAAATTGAGTTATTTGTCTTTCTGTTGTTGAATTGTAGTAATTTTACTAGAGCCTGATTTGCAAATAGTTTCTCACGTTCTGTAGGTTTTCTTTTGATTTTCTTCATGGTTTCCTTTGAAGCATAAAAGTTTTAAATTTTCTCAAAGTCCAATGTTTTCTTTGCTTGTGCTTTTGGTGACGTATCTAAGAAACCACTGCCTAATCCAAGGTCACAAAGATTTATCCCTATATTTTCTTCTGTGAGTTTTATAGTTAATAAGTATAGTTTTATTTATATAAATATATACGTGTATACATTTAGTAAGGTAGTTCTTCCATTTAGGTCCTTAATCCATTTTGAGTTAATTTTTGTAGAGGGTGTGAGGTAAGGGTCCAAATTCGTTCTTTCGCCTGTTGTTACACAGTTGTCCCAACCCCATTTGTTGAAGAGACTATATTTTCCCCATTGAATGGTCTCGACACCCTTGTTGAAACCCAGTTGACCCTAAATGTATGAGTTTATTGCTTAACTCTCAGTTCTCTTCTGTTGATCGATACATCTGTCCTTATGCCAGTACCACACAATGTCTTTTTTTTTTAATTGATGTACAGTTGATTTACAATAGTGTTAATTTCTGCTGTACAGCAAAGTGACTCAGTTATACACATATATACATTCTTTTTTATGTTCTTTTCTATGATGGTTTATCCCAGGAGATTGGATATAGTTCCCTGTGCTATACAGTAGCTTGATTACCATAATTTTGTTGTAAGTTTTGAAATTGGCAAGTGTCGGTCTTCCAAATTTGTCCTCCTTTTGCAAGATTGTTCTGGCTCTTCTGGATCTTTTGCAGCAAGTTATTTTCTTAACACCCCGAGTGGTAGCAAACCATAGCCCTCTGATATGAGCTGTGAACTGCAGAAACGAATAAAAGGCATTGGAGCCAAGTGTGCCCAGTCAAACTGGTCAGGAGTAAAGGGGAGGATGTGAAGAATGAGACAGTTCCTGTTGGGGTTTACGTGTTATTCTGGGGGCAATTTTCACAGCTACACTGGATGCAATTGCGGTGTGTTTGGAATAGGTGCCCCCTGCAGTGATCCTTCCTCCCTCCCTCCCTCCTTCCCTCCCTTCCTGCCCCTGTCTCTGGCTCCCTCTTTTCTTCCTTTCCTAAAATGTTTACTGAGCGCTGCACATGTTTCTCTTCGTCAGGCGCTAAGTCCTAGGAACACAGAAATGAACAAGACCCAGAAAGTACCTGCTCTCCGGGAGCTTGTATCCTAGTGGGAAGGCCAGATAACAAAATGAATAAGATAATTATAAACTGTGTTAGGGAGTATAAAGGGAAAAGGGTGGTATTATAATTAAGAAAATCAGAGAACTGCTCTCGGAGGAGATGACCTCAAAGACTGAGAGGGAGTGGGCCAAGCCAATGCCGGGGTGGGTGGGGGTGGGAAGGAGGTTCCAGCCAGAGGGGACAGTGTGCGCAAAGGCCACTCGCCGGGAAGAGCTCCGCGGGGTCGGGGAGCAGAAGGGACCGAGGGCGAGGATGGCCAGCTCCCTCAGGGGCGCAGAGGACCCGGATTTTATTCTCAGCACATTCAATGCACAGAACAGTTCTAACCAGGGAGTGGCGTTGGGAAACAGTTGACGGGAACATTTACAGAGTTTGTAATCCTATGGGAAGAGTCTTTACAATGTGCTGTTGATTTTAACGAGCAGAATAAGTAACTGAACGCTTGAGATGTTCCCGATTTGGGTTTGAAAAACGTGCGGGGATGAACTGCAGAGTCCCCAGAATGAGACTTGCCTGGGTGTCGGCTGTCCCTGGGCCGTGGACGGTGTCATTTTCCTGTCCCTTCCACGTTTTTGCCACGTGTCATTTATATAATCAGGAAGGAAGGTAGCTGCTGTCGCTGAGATCCGTGCGCCTGGCTGCACGTGCGGGGCAGAGCGGGCCCCCGGGTCAGGCTCCCTGCGGTGGATATGGGGCGCCCTCACTGACTGAACCCGCCTCTTCCCAGTTTGAGGGCTGCTCGAAGGCCTACTCCCGCCTGGAGAACCTGAAGACGCACCTGCGCTCCCACACAGGGGAGAAGCCGTACGTGTGTGAGCATGAGGGCTGCAACAAAGCCTTCTCAAATGCCTCGGACCGCGCCAAGCACCAGAACCGCACCCATTCCAACGAGGTACCCGGCCCCAGGGAGGCGGGCAGCGGGCACGTGCGTGAATGCATCACCCTCATCCCACGGCTTCTAGACGCCCGTAGGCCATTCGGTGGCCAGGTGCCACTTCCCTCCGCCCCCTGGTGTGGGGACTCAGCATGCAGTGGCAGCCCTGTCCCCCCCACCACAGGCTGGCGGATGACACGCTCCAGCCGCTCGTGCCGCCCGGGCCTGCGGAGCTGTCGGTCCCTCCCCGCGTGGAGCACAGAGCAGCCTCTGTCTCTCCAGGTAGCCAGAACCCCAGGCAGGGCTGAGGGAGCCCAGGGAGGAAAGTCGGGTGGGAGCTCATGGTGGCTCTGTACCCGCCTTCCGGTCCCCGCCCAGCCATTCAACTGCTGTCACTCAGGTAGACTCAGGAAAGGATGTTTCTAAACGTTTTGATACATTTTGGACCCCGAAGGGACTTGCTCCAGTGCTGGTAGGAAGTTCGAGGACTTCCCAAAGGTATCTGAACCCCTCAGAGTGTCTAAAGACAAGAGCTAGCCTTGGATAGGGGTGTGTGTGGGTATGTGTGTTTGCAAGCATGTATGTGCATGTGTGTGGATGTGGATGTGTGTATTATGTGTGTGGGTGTGTGAATATGTATTTGTAAGTATATGTACACGTGTGGGTGTTTACATACGTGTGTGTGAGTTTACGTGGATGTGTGTGCTTGTGTGTGCATACGTGTGTGTACCTGTGTGCGCGTATGCCTGTAGACAGAGTATATGTGGATGTCACTTGTGTGTGTGTATGAGCTCAGGACCGAGGTTCAGAAACCCTGGGTTTTCATCCCACTCCTGGGTGACTTGGGGGCAGTGTCTTTGCCTCTCTGAACCTGTCTTTCCTCGTGAGACAGAGCAGGTGTTCGTGCTGTGTCACAGACGTATAACGAGGTAATACACTCTCTACTGATACCAAAATGCCCAGCGCCTCAATCGCTATGCGGATCACACCAGGCACTGTGTGTCCCCTCCCTCTACAGGCTCTGATCCATGTCCCTGGTCCGTGGTGGGGGCCCCCTTAACCACAGGCTTACCTGCAGGAAAAGGTGGCAGGCGAAGCCGGCGGGGCGGGGCTCCTGCGGGGCGGGACTCCTGTGGGCGGGACTCCTGCGGGGCGGGGCTGACGTGGCTCCATCCATGGGCCCAGCGCCTTCCGACAGTGCCGCCAGCTCTGCTCTGCCGAAGGACGCGGCTCCGGGAGGACGGACGGTGCGCCCACGCGGAGTCTGCCTTCCTATCCCATCCGTAACGCCTCTTCTCTTCCAGAAACCCTACATCTGCAAGATCCCAGGCTGCACCAAGAGGTATACAGACCCCAGCTCCCTCCGGAAGCACGTGAAAACAGTCCACGGCCCAGATGCTCACGTCACCAAGAAGCAGCGCAACGACGTGCACCTCCGCACCCCCTTGCTCAGGGAGAACGGGGACAGCGAGGCCGGCGCCGAGCCTGTCCGGGGCTCCGAGGGGAGCGCCGAGGCCAGCAGCACCAGCCAGGCCGTGGAGGACTGCCTGCACGTCAAAGCCATCAAGACCGAGCGCTCCGGGGTAAGCAGGGCTGCGCAGCATAGGCCTGGTCCATACCCCGCCCCCAGGAGGCCGTGCCCAGCGGCACCAGGGGCGCAAGGATGTCCCTCCTCTCTCCAGCTCAGCTGGCCCCCATCACCACCTTGGGCCCCCATGGAACCTGTTTCGTGCCAGGTCCCATCCTGCTGGGCAGGCCGTGGGTGACGGGGATGCCTCCCCCGACGCGGTCAGTTTGCAGGGGGTGGGGCGGTACCCGGTGTCTGCCTTTCCAACCAGTACCCGCCGCCGCCGCAGCTGCCCCCGCCCCTCTGTCCTGTCTCTGCGTCCTTGCCCCTCTGGCCTGCACCCCTTTTGTTCTAACCACCTGTTCTTTGTCTCCACCTCTTTCTCCTGACTGTACCTCCCCTAAGGATAGACGGTACTGAGGTGAGCGGAGCAGCGGGGTGGGCTCTGGGCGCGCTGGCGTGAGTGAGGGGGGCTGGGGCGCTTGTCCAGGCTCCTTAAGGCCGGGAAGGCAGGTTCGGGTACGTAGACCGCAGGCACCGCAGGTGGGGCCGTCGGAACAGCTCGAGGCTGGCAGCAGGGGGTCAAGCTTGCAGGCACAGGAGGAAGCGGTGGGGTCCAAGCCCAAGTGAGGGTCAGGGCAGGGTGGAGGTGTGAATCTGGACTGCGGAGCAGGGCGGGCCTGATCTACAGAAGGCCTTGAGTGCCGAGGTGAGGGGTGTGGGCCGTGCTGTGTGCAGCTCCCCTGGAAAGGTGTGGAATTTGGGAGCCTTCAGGTTAGAAATGAACCAAGGATGCTGCATCCCAGGTGAGCCTCATTTGGGCTCAGATCCCAGGTCACGGTGGAGGGAGCCCAGTTTCTGTGGGGTTCCACCCCGTACACGTGTGCCACCAGCTCTCGCCTCAATTCACCCTGTTGCAGAGGGAGGGCTGGTTTGGGGTGGCCACTCAGGTCAAGGGTGAGGGCTGTGTCCAGCAGCTGCACCCTCCGCCGTCAACCCTTCCCTTTCCAGCAACCCACCTCCGGCCTGCTGGGCAGACGGCAGGTAGCAGGCCTTCACTGTTTCTTACTTCATCGAGTGGCCCACCCCCATCGCTGTTGTTGGGGTGCTTCAGTCTCCTCCTTCCTGTCAATTTCACGCGGCTGCGGCAGCCTCTGTAGGGCTCAGCTTCATAGGGTCCACATACTGAAAGCTCTGCAGGCAGAGAGCTCGGCCCAGACGCTGGCTGGGAAAGTTTAGGAGCATAGCAGGGGGCTAGGGCGGGTGGGTGGTGGGTGCCTGGCGATTACCCGCTGCCTTCTACTCGCCGGGTGGTCTCCATCCATCCACCGACTCTCTCCAGGAGTCAGGTCGGGTCCCGCTTACAGCTGGGGAAGTCGAGGTTCAGAGCAGTGGTGCTTTGAAAGCTCCTCCATACGGCAGCGTCCTGCCCCCGGGTGTGCAAGGGTGCAGCGTGGGTGGCGGGGCCGGTGGGTGCTCGCACCCTCTGAGTCTGTGCCTTCTCACCACGCTCCCCACAGCTGTGTCAGTCCAGCCCCGGGGCCCAGTCTTCCTGCAGCAGCGAGCCCTCTCCTCTGGGCAGTGCCCCCAACAATGACAGCGGTGTGGAGATGCCGGGGACAGGGCCCGGGAGCCTGGCAGACCTGACGGCTCTGGAGGACCCACCGCCGGGGGCCGACGCCTCCGCCCTGGCCACCCCCTCTGCCGGTGGCCTGCAGCTGCGCAAACACATGACCACCGTGCACCGGTTCGAGCAGCTCAAGAGGGAGAAGCTCAAGTCGCTCAAGGATTCCTGCTCATGGGCCGGGCCGGCTCCACACACCCGGAACTCCAAGCTGCCCCCCCTGCCGGCAAGTGGTGAGTGGAGGCCCCGGGCGTGCAGGTGGGGTGGGAGGGAGCCCAGGGCAGCACGATGAGGTTCATACCCACCACGCACCATGTGCCCTGGAGAAGATGGATCTTACAAGCCCATTGCACAGGTCAGGGAATTGAGGCTCAGAGAGGTGAAAGTGCTTTGCTCAGATCGGTGGCAGAGCTGAGGCTCAGCCCAGGCCTGAGTGGCTCCGAAGCCCATGCTCCTCCGGCTACACCATGCTGCATCCCCATAAGCCCCAAGGCAGGCAGGCCCAGCTCAGCCCTTGCTCTCCTCGTGAGCCATGCACTTGCCTACCAGGCACCTGCCGCGCACACCACGGCAAAGGGCTCGGCAGGACAGGGACACGTTCCAGGTCCCTGTGGTTAGAAGGCCAAGTTACGAGATGCCGAATAAGCAAGGAGCGCCGAGGACAGAGCTCAGTGTAGCTCGAGAGAAAGCAGGGCAGCTGGGGAGGCGCAGGGAGGGCGTCACGGAGGGGGCAGCCCTGTGCTCAGCCTCGGGAAGCGTTGGCCAGACTTTGAGGTGGAAGATGTCTTCACCAGGCATTTCTTGAGTGCCACTGTGCCAGGCTGCGTGCCGGGCGCCAGACACCTTGGGGCACTGAGCCTCCACACTGCCCTCCAGGGCCCAGTGTGCACCGTGGCACTGAGTTATTAAGAGGAGACCCTGAGAGGCACCACCCTGCTCCTTCTTGAAGGGGGGATTCGTTGCCCCAGCTGTCAAGGGAACTGCCGGCAGATGGCCTTCAACTCCCCACCTCCTGCAGAGATTGCCTGGGGTGCTGACAGCTGCCTCACCCAAGGTCACCCTTCCCGGCATGGCCCACGTCCAGGGATAGATCTCTGCAGGGCTGTAGAGGCTGCTCAAGGCCCAGAGCTGCCTGTGAGATGAGCCGCGGCTGGCGGTGGGCCTGCGTTGCAGCTGTCTTCTCCCTAACCACTCTGCTGCCTCTCCACACCACCCCGCCGTGGCTGTGGGTCTCAGGACAGTCCCCCTAAACAGCCTGCTGGGTAAACTCAGTCCCAGGGGAGCCCACATGGCAGCGCCCATCGTGGATGGTGGGGATGCAGGGAGGCTGTGGCCAGGGCCCTCCTGGGCTCTTGGGGATAACCCAGTGCTACGGAGAGGCACATCCCATCCATAGCTGGAGAAACTGAGGATGGGACCTAATGAGAACGCAGGGCCAGCCGGGCAGTGCTGGATTGGGATTGGGCCTCCTAACTTCCACTAGCTGCCCTGGCTATGAGTGCCACCGTTTGCTAACTGTCCCTTCTTTTCCTCCTCTTGAGAAATCATTGGCTGGGTTCCTTCTGGGTGCCAGGTCCCGTTCCAGGGCTCTGGGCCCGGCAGCCTCAGCGCGGCCCAAGCAGGCAGTGTACCGCCCATTGTCCCCAGTCCCCGGCGCTGAACCCTCTCCTCTCCCGCAGGCTCCGTGCTGGAAAACTTAAGAGGCGGCGGCGGGCCAGCGGGGCTGCTGCCCAACCCGCGGCTGTCCGATCTGTCCGCCGGCGAGGTGACCGTGCTGAGCCACCTGCAGGAGCGCCGCGACAGCTCCACCAGCACGGTCAGCTCGGCCTACACCGTGAGCCGCCGCTCCTCGGGCATCTCCCCCTACTTCTCCAGCCGCCGCTCCAGCGAGGCCTCGCCCCTGGGCGCCGGCCGCGCACACCCCGCCAGCTCCGCCGACTCCTATGACCCCATCTCCACCGACGCGTCGCGGCGCTCCAGCGAGGCCAGCCAGTATGGCGGCAGCGGTGGTGGCGGCCCGGGGCTGCTCCAGCTCACACCCGCCCAGCAGTACAGCCTGCGGGCCAAGTACGCGGCAGCCACGGGCGGGCCGCCCCCCACCCCGTTGCCCGGCCTGGAGCGCGCTAGCCTGCGGACCCGGCTGGCGCTCCTGGATGCACCCGAGCGCATGCTGCCCGCTGCCTGCCCGCACCCGATCGGGCCTCGGCGGGGCAGCGATGGGCCGCACTACGGGCCAGTGGGGCCGGCGCCCTCCTTCCCCCATGAGGCGCCGGGTGGTGGGGCGCGGAGGGCCAGCGATCCTGGGAGGCGACCCGACGCCCTGGCGCCCCCACGGGTGCAGCGCTTCCACAGCGCCCACGACGTGACCCCGGCAGCTCTGCCGCTGCCCTGCGCCCAGGGCCGAGGCCTCCGTCTGCAGAGCCACGCAAGCGCCGACGGCGGCCTGGCCCGAGGCCCCTACTCCCCCCGGCCGCCCAGTATTAGCGAGAACGCAGTGATGGAGGCCTTGGCGGTGGGGGCGGACGGCGTGGGCCCCGAGGTCAGCCTCGGGCTGCCGGAGGACGACCTTGTACTGCCCGACGACGTGGTGCAGTACATCAAGGCGCATGCCGGTGGCACCCTGGAGGAGAGCGCCCCAAAGGTGTACGCCCCGGAGAGCACCTGCTTCTCCGAGAACCCCAAACTGCCCAGCCCCGGGCTGCACGGCCGGCACACGATAGCGGCCGCAGACTCCAACGTGGGCCCCTCTGCCCCTGTGCTGGGAGGCTGCCCACTGGGTTACGTGGCCCCCTCCAGCCTGAACAAAAACAGCATGCCTGTGCAGTGGAACGAGGTGAGCTCTGGCACCGTGGACGCCCTGGCCAGCCAGGGAAAGCCTCCGCCCTTCCCACAGGGCCACCTGGCAGTGGTGCCACAGAAGCCAGCCTTCAGCCAGTACCCAGGCTACAGTCAGCAGGGCCTGCAGCTGAGCCCCGGGGTCCTGGACAGCTCGCAGCCACACCTGCAGCCCTGCGGTGGAGCGCCCTCCGCGCCCAGGGTAAACTACATGCAGCAGCTGCGGCAGCCAGGGGCGGGTGGCCAGTGTTCCAACATGGCGGCTGCTGTGAGCGCCCACCCTGGCTACGGCCAAGCCCATCCCCAGCTGAGCCCCCTGGGTGGGGCCCCGCACCAGTTCCCCCGGTCCTGCAGCAACATGGCGGCCAAGCCAGGCCACCTGGGGCTCCCCCAGCAGATGGAAGTTGTCCCTGACCCCGCCATGATGGGCAGCAGCCACAGGGAACTTGACATCCCCAGTTCCAGCCTGGCTAGGATGCCACCACCTCACCTAGCCCAGAGCTACCCACAGCAGAGCCATCACCTGGCCACAGCCATGAGCCAGGAGGGCTACTGCCAAGGCCCCAGCCTTGTGCCTTCCCACCAGCCTGGCTTCGTGGGGCCTCAGCAGGGCCCGACAGGGGCGGCCGGATCGAGCTTCGGCCTAGTGCAACCCCGGCCACCCGCAGAGCCCGGCCCTGCTGGCCGCCGCCGTGGGGTGCGTGCGGGGCAGCAGCTGGCCTATGCCAGGGCCTCTGGCCACGCCATGGCTGCCCTGTCAGCCGACCAGGAGATGGCAGAGTCTGTGCCCAAGGGGACGATGGGCGGCGTGTTGGCCCTGACTCCCCAGGCACCCCCCCAGGATGCGGGCGGGGCCCAGGACCGCAGCACGCTTTACTATTACGGCCAGATCCACATGTACGAGCAGAACGGAGGCCTGGAGAACCAGGCCAGCTGCCAGGCCATGCGGCCCCAGCCTCCGCAGCCCCAGGCCTTGCCCTCGCCAGGGCTCAACCAGGTGTCCAGCACTGTGGACTCCCAGCTACTCGAGGCCCCCCAGATTGATTTTGATGCCATCATGGATGACGGCGATCACTCCAGCTTGCTCTCGGGGGCCCTGAGCCCCAGTCTCCTCCACGGCTTTTCCCAGAGCTCCTCCCGCCTCACCACCCCACGCAACTCCCTGACTCTGCCCTCCATCCCTGTGGGCATCAGCAACATGGCGGTTGGGGACATGAGCTCCATGCTCACCAGCCTGGCCGAGGAGAGCAAGTTCCTCAACATGATGACCTAAGGCCCCGGCGCCTGGCGCTGTGCGGACCCCGAGGGACCAGCGCTTCCCAGAGCGCGGGCCTTTCGTCCGTTTCATCTTTTTCCCCCAAAAGTATTAAATAGGTCTGAGGGAGTTTGGCCAGTGGCTGGTTCAGACCACAGAGGCTTTAAGGGCAGGTTTACGTGCGTCCTGTCTGGTCTTCTTTTAGATTATCTGTCGGAACTCTGAAAAAAGCCTCAACAGAAAAGGCAAGGCAGGAATGCAAAACTCGTTTACACAGCGCTTCGCAGCCTTTGGTGTTTATAGGACCACTCTGTTCTGGCTTTGTCACCTCTGTCATCTGGCTAATGAGGGATTACGTTGGCCCAGGGCTTTCCAAGCACACGTGGAAAGAGGAGAGAGGAACCACATTTGGATTTGAATCTGAAAGCCATACTAGGTATTCTAAACCAGGAAGATAAGTTTCTTGTTCCAGTACCTGCAAAGTAAAGGAATTCATGCCCACCGGAATTCTTCTATGAAGCTTAATTCTTGAGGCCTCTAACATCCCTTGCCAGGGAGTGGGAAAAAAATCTTACCTGGATGATTTGGAAGCACATCCTGATTCCAGGTTTGGTAGAGCAGGCATGTCTACCCCGCAAAGCTAAGTTTACAGCTGGCCGACTGTCCAGGTGTGTGTGGATGAATGAAGTATGGAAGTATCACCCGAAAAAAGGAAAGAAAAGAGTGTAATACTCAGGGCAAGCCCAGAAGCTACCCTGGCCTCTCCAGACCATGTTTACAGTGTTCATGCGTGTAGAATGTAGCCCTTCCTGAAAAGAACACATTTCTAAATACCTCGGGGCTGCCGGAGCTGCTGTGGGTGAGCTGAAGGTGAGCCAAGGTGTGATGGCCAAGGTGAGCTGAAGCGTGGCCTGGGACCTGGGTAGTGAGCGCACCAGGGGCCCAGCTTCAGGCTGCCCTGGAGGTCTCCCAGTAGGACGAGGAAGTCGCGTGTTTACCCAAGCCTGTTTCTCCAATGCACTATGCACCCACTTGACCATGGATAAACCCCAGGGCTTGACAGCAACCTCCGCCCAAGTTCCTCCAGGCCATGCTGTCCGCTCGCCAGCAGCCCAGTGACCAACCCCCTAGCTACCACATGCAGTCGCGGTGTCTTCTGGATTCCCTTCCCGCCGCCCTCCTGTTCATTTCACAGAGAACGATGATATGCATGGTGTTCTCAGTGGGCGTGGGAGGGTGAAGGGGTTGATTCTTGGGACTCTGAGGGACCATCACTGAATTCTCCTATTCAGTGTTGGCCAAGCCCCACCTGGAAATGGAATTTGCAACTGGCGTCAGAAGACATTGTTCCCGAATATACAGTAGGGTAAATAGGTGCATCCTCCCTGCCACACACATGTACAAACACCGCACACCTTTCCCATGTTGAATTCGTGGCAACCTTGCCAAATCCACCTGCACCACTATGAACCTGGAACCGATTATGACCCTGACTTCAACCAGGACAGGGCCAAAACCTCACCTGGGACTCTACATCCCAGAACAGCAAATGCTTTGTCAGCGTCCAAAGACAAGGCCAACTTCAAACGACAGCCCTGGGACACCTCCAAGGCTCTGGGCTCTGTGTGGTGCACGGTCTTTCCCCGCGCTAGGATTTCACTAGCTGTTCCCAGCTTGTATATTGTCTGTACAGAAGACAGCATCCCTGAAAATACTGTAGGTGAGTCATCCGGTCAGATTTATATGTCCAAAACATTTTTAGCTTTTTCTACATGCGATGAATTGAGATGACATACTCAACTTGTAAATAAGTCCTTTTGTACATTAAAAAAGTAATTTTTTCATAATTTATTTGGTCTATCTGCTTCTTCCTTGACAGTAGTTAATGAAAACCTGGGCCATAAATTCGGTGCATTTGAACGGAAACGAGGCTGTATTTTTTTCTCAGCAGCGTCAAAATTGACTATCCCGCCTTGGCCAGGAAATGTTTAAAGCTGGGACTTTCACTGCCTATTTGTTTGTTGTCTGGGGCGGGGGGGCCGGGGTTTGACGTGGTACAGGGGTTGTCTGGCTGCTCTTTCAGCCCGCTGGACGGAACGTCTGTGTTGGTTTGCTGACATGAGGTGCAGCTGTGGTCCCAAGCGCCCCCTTGGACGAGCAGTCGGAAGAGCATGGTTGAGTCTTGGGGAGTGGGAAGAGGAAAACAGGCAGCCCCCTGTGCTCTCCCTGTGCTCTGGTGCAAAAGCAGAGTTAGAGGGAGCAGGTGTAACACCCAGATACCCAGCAACCAGCCTGGGGCGAAGGGGCCAGTGGGGAGCAGCCAGGTGCAGGACTCTGAGCCCTGGGGGGGCGGCCCTGGCAGGTGCACAGGGGACCCGGGTCTGGAGAGCCAGCAGGCTGCCATCAACAGCGTTTGGGCTACTGCTCTGAGCCTCAGGGGGACTGGGGAGGGGGGCCGTAAGGCCTGGGATGAATTCTGGAGCTGGGAGGGGAGGGCGCAGGACCGGGTTGCCAGGGGTAGAAGGCACCTTCTGTAGGGCCAGGGATGCTGTGCCTCTGTGCTCCCGGCCCAGGCCCCTTAGCGCGCTTCCCTCCAGGAGAGAAACCTTGGCACCCAGCTCGGAGAGTCAGGAAGCCAAAACCGCATGCGGCGCGTTCAGCTCAGCTATTTTTGTGGATGTCATGGATGCACGGAAGAAGCCTTCTCTGATAGTAAGTGTAGGACCCCCCCACCCCCCGCACCGAGGGAAACAATTCAAAGGTTTCCTTTCTGGGAGCGTCCCAGAGTCTTCACTGTGCATTAGGGGAAACTTCACGTCTGTGGCCACATTTTCCTGGTGGAAAGATTACAGCCGACTCCCAGCCCCGGGGAGCCCCTCTCTTTGAGGGGGGAACTTAATTAGCTGATTGCATGCTCCAGAGGAGGAACTGAGCGTACCTGGCTGGGCCCTTTCCTCTGCTTCTCTCAAAGCCCATCCTCAGGCTTCGCATCTCCCCTGCTTCTTAACGTGCTAAAAGTCCCCGGAAGCAGCTCTGCCCTGCTTTGGGGACGGGGGAGGCCAGGATGTTCAATGCTGCCTGAGACCGGATGGGCCACAGTATTAAGAAGCCCATAGAAGCCACTCAACTCAGCCACGCGCTCTGTCACGTAACCACAGCCACGGTCATGCTGCTTAAGAATACTCACGCAGCCTCAGCACCAGGTCACAGCATCTGTTTGGCTGATGAATCTGGGTCCGCTGCGATTTGACTGATCCCGGTTGGGCTGGGCTGGGCAGCTCAGCTGGGAGCAGCTCATCCAGCCGGCTTGGCGGGGGCAGCTTGGCCGTGCTCTACATGACCCTCATCTTCCTCCCTGGTCAGGAGGCCGGCCTGGGCATTGCCTTCTCGGGGAATGGCAGGAGCATGAGAAAGCAAGCAGAGAAGGTTCTGCCTCTGCTCAGAATCAGGGCACCGTCCGTTTCCCCACATTCCTCTGGCAAAAGCAAGCCACGTGGCCAAACCCATCGTCAGCGACGGGACGTGTCCTCCTTCCACGGGCGTGAGGGGGAGAGAGTGCCTATTTCTCAGCAATAATACAGTCTCCCATGGTCTGCCCTCACAGCCTTATGTCCCTCCCACAAGCAGCATACACTCACGCAAGACCCCAAAAGTCTATCCAATCAGTCATTGGGCTCGAAGTTTAAGATCGTGTGGTCTGTACCTGTTCTGGATGCATCTCTTCTTGACCCAGAGCCTCAAGAACTAAATAGAGTTCATACACACACCCAGTGCACAGAGTGGACCAGAGCTAGAATCGCGGCAGTTGCCACTCCTGTCTCAGCCGCTGGTCCACAGCGTCTGAAGTCCTGCCGGGGAAACGTCGCCAGTGGCCCTACCCTGGGTCACCCTATTCCTGGGTGGAAGGTTCCCAAGTCTGTTGTGCTCTGGCGTCCACATCGGGGCGTTCTTTGTTTTCCATCTGCCTTCCCACTTGTACAGAGGGCATTGGAAAGTATACCTCCTTGGGTAGCAAAGTACTGTCCAACCCCTTTCTGCCCGAAGAAGGTTGGGAGCTTGAGGTTCTTTATGTGTCAAACACCCACACTGTACTCCACACTTACGATACATGTGCCCACGCAACTCCCTCAAACATGGCGGGTTTTGATATTTCATTCTAGTCCACCCTGTGCGTCAAAGCCACACCTGTAATTCCTTTGGCGACATGCCCCCTCTCTACATTGATTACTGACACCCCACATCAGGCTGTGTCTAGGCACCGCATTGTCACTGAAGGGATATTCAACAGTCACCTTATTCCTTTCAAGGACCACAAGACCAAAGGCATTAAAATCAAGAGCATACCCTAGGGCTTCCCTGGTGGCGCAGGGGTTGAGAGTCCACCTGCTGATGCAGGGGACGTGGGTTCGTGCCCCGGTCCGGGAGGATCCCACATGCCGCAGAGCGGCTGGGCCCGTGAGCCATGGCTGCTGAGCCCGCGTGTCCGGAGCCTGTGCTCCACAACGGGAGAGGCCACAACAGTGAGAGGCCCGTGTACTGCAAAAAAAAAAAAAAAGAGCATACCCTAGACTTCGTCTTTACTCTGAGGCCATGTCTCACCGGCACTGCCCTGGACTTGGTCTCTGTGCCCCAGGCCAGAGCTTCATCTGAAGATCTTGGAGCAGCAGGAGAAACAGGAAATAAGGAATCATTTCATTTTCTAAATTCTGCTTTACACTGGCTGGTTCCTTTTTGAACTCATCTCTTACTTTGGGTACCTTATCATTTACAGCTCAAAGAAGCTGCTGTTTATCATATTCTGCCTGGAAACCAGCCTGCCGAATTCCACGAATTCATAGAAATGTTTTCTCCCTCCCCAAAGAACATAGGCAGTCATTTTGCCAACTATTTCTTCACCACATCACCCAGGTCACCATTTTTCTTGCCATGTCTCCAACCTCCTCTAAATGTCCTCACTGCCCAGTTCCAAAACTGTGCTCCATATTTTAGGACCTGTGACAGCAGCCTCCCATTCTGGGTACCAATTTCTGAATAAGCACCAGTAATGCTATCTAATAAAAACCACAAAAGTCCTGAAACATAAAACACCCAGCATTTATTTAGTTCAGGGGTCTGTGAGTCAGCTGAGGGTGTTGCCCTGGGTGGGCAGCTGAGGCAGCTCAGCTCTGCTCCTGGGCCTTCTCCCCTGGACCCAGAGCATTGTTTGGACATCACGTTGATGGCATAGGTTCAAAAGCGCAAGTGAAAATACAGGAGGCCACTTAAGACCTGGGCTTGGAACAGGAGGCAGGTCACATAACTGAGCCCCAAATCAATGGAAGAGGGAAATGCGCACCTCCTATAAAAGTATCGCAGGTCGGTATCTGAACAATAATTCAACCTCCCGCATCAGACCAGCTTCGATCATACTAAGACTGAATTGTAGCCTCCATCTCTCTCCTGACTATCTTAGTTAGCTCTAAATCCAAAAGGGAGGAGAGTGAGGTCATTCATTGTGGCCCAGCAACCAGTGACGTGCCAAGGCAGCTTCTGAGCCGATGATGTGCATCTCTTCCCAACTCTGTGTTCAGAGAGTTCATAGCGATCACTGACATTGGCCGTGTAGGGAGAATTCATACTATGGAAATCAGCAAACACGACCAACCAGGGCTTCCTGCCTTCAACCGCAGAGAGCTGGTCATTAAACATTTGCCAGTGTACCTAACAGCATGCTAAAGTCCTGTGAGTTGCCAACAGCCTGATATGTCCAGAGGTCTCTTCTAAGTTTCTACGTCCCCAAACCCATTTTGTGGGAGAACTTTTGAGTCCAGAGTGCCATGGGCTTTCAGATGTTAAAAGTCATGCAATCTATCTATCTTATAATATTGCTTATATGTAGAATCTAGAAAAATGGCACCGATGAGCTTATCTGCAAGGCAGAAGTAGAGCCACAGGTGTAGAGAACAAACTTACGGACACCAAAGGGGGAAGGGGGGTGGGATGAATTGGGAGATTGGGATTGACATATATTCACTACTATATATAAAATAGATAACTAAGGAGAACCTGCTGTACAGCACAGGGAGCTCTACTCAGTGCTCTGTGGTGACCTACACGGGACGGAGATCTAAAAGAGTGGATATACGTGTACGTATAGCTGATTCACTTTGCTGTACAGCAGAAACTAACACACCGTTGTAAAGCAACTCTACCCCAATTTGAAAAAAGAAAAAGTCACGCAATCTGTTGTTCAGAGGAAATTGACTAGCCGAGGTAAAGGACACCGATGAAAGTGGAGCTGATCCGCTGGTGGTGAGAGCAGGAGACCAGAGCCCACACTCCGTCCCCACCCCCACCCCCGGGTCGCCCCGCCAACCAGAGCAACACACACATGGGCCCACAGGGTGGAGTTTGAAAACCAAACCTCTAGTTCGGCCCCAAATGAATTGAGGTCCAGAAAAATGAGCACGTTCTAAACTTAGGATTAGGACTCCTGCTTCTAGAATCCCGGGAGGAGGCTGGCTACCCCAGCACCGATAGCACAGGCATGGCCCATATGTACTATTCAGTCCTTTCCTTCTTTCTGGCTCTGATGGTCTGAGTTAGTCCTTTGAAGGAAAGAGCGGTGTCTGATCCAGCCCATGAGACCCCATCAGTGGTTTTGATTAATTCTGCCGAGTTTAGTTCCAAATCTGGTGGTTCTGGAAAACTTCACAGAGGTGGAGTGAACCAAACCTTAAGAGATGAGTAGAAATTGGATCTTGTGAGCGGCCCTTGCAGAATGTATTTGAACGTGAGGCTATGTCTGCAGTCTACAAAGAATTCTGAACAGA